ATCAGTAGCCGTAATCTCGGCTTGTCAAGCCGTTAAGGTAAGGAGATGATGCAACTGTGCATGCACTTTGAGGATTATCTGAATAAGGTCAAAGACAGATCCTTGGAATATGCATTCATTCTGTGCAAACCTAATCTGTTGAATGATAAGACCAGCTCTCAACAACCATCCGTCTTCCTCACACCTACTATCTTGATCCAATTGCCACCATAAAGAAATAAACTCAGCAATGTCGGTATAGCCATAATATGTAGGACGAAATTGTAATCATGAGCCATACCAAATTGGTTGAACACAAGATAGAAAAATAATATGAAATATATCTTCTATAGTAGGTCAAATGTACATTTAATTTCTTTAAGGCTCGGTTTAGAAGGAGTGTGTAGTGTAAAACCTCGTAATTTGTATTACTAAACTTGTATTTATATTATACACATTTGTATTTATACTTTTAAAAATGCATTTTTCAAAAATTAATATATCATCAGCAAAAAAGAGATAATTAACTTTAACCAAATACCTAATAACCATTGGTTGATTGATAAAAGTGTCTTAGAAAATGTTGACATGAGTCGTCAAAGCCTTGTGAAGCAGATTTCAAATCTGCTCCTCACTGAGTGTGTCTCACACCGACCTCACAGCATGTTTATCTGTGCTGCCGTGCAATATGGAGTCTGGATCACCTGCAAACAAGATGCATTCCAACACCCTACCAACAATATATGCACCACACATCTCATATATGGCGGGTCCCGCTTTTATGGTGGGCCCTAGTTTTATATCGAGGTGCGGTATCATATCAAGTTGGTAGGGTGTTGGGACTTGTTTTATTGGCAGGTGATCCCAACTTTGTATATGGAGCATCTCCATACTTGAAAACAAGATGCGTTCCAACACCCTACCAACAACATATGCACCACACATCTCATATATGGCGGGTCTCACTTTTATGGTGGGCCCAGTTTTACATCGAGATGTGTAATATCAAATCAAGTTGGTAGGGTATTGGAACTTGTTTTGTTGGTAGGTGATCCCAACCTTGCATATGGAGCATCTTCGTATGGCTGAAATGGGCTGAGGCACACTCTGTGAGGAGCAGATGCAAACTCTATGAAGCAATCATCCTAACTCTTAAATGTTTGTGAAGCAAAACTTTATGAACACTGTAATGACTAATGAGGAATTGGGATATGCTCCTCACAGCCACATCCTACCGTGTATTAGGAACATCTCCCATAAAAAATAAAAAATAAGAAGAGAAGTTCCCAATGTGTGGCTGGAATATGCTGTGAAGTCAATGTGAGGAGCACTCTGTAAGGAGCAAATCTGGACTCCCTAATGAGTGAAGCAAAGGCAAAAGGGGATGACACGTGGTAGGATGATGCATAGGGGCTAGGGAAAGACATGTCAAGTTTCTTCATGTCACTTTTGCAACCACCTATGTTGAGCTGGCACAATTATCCAAGGCATATTTGTGACAAGAACATTCTCAAATCAGAGTCCGGATCTACTCCTCACATAGCACTCTTCACACTGACCTCATATACCAGCCACACAATAGGAACATCTCCCGTACTTGTATGTTATTATATTCATGAGAGATATTCCCAATACATGACGAGATGTGGCTGTGAGGAGCGTTGTGTGAGGAGCAGATCTCAATTCCTCAAATCATGCATGGTTTGCATGGTTTCTATGATACCTTGGAGGGATATGCATTCATAGAAGGGTGGTTGATTGACCTGTTCACGGGCGGGCTTCGGTCCCAACTTTACACTATGTTGGGCTAGAACATAAGGCCGGGTCCATTCAAAATTTGGCAAAAGTCAAGCTTGAGCCGGACCCATAAACAGTTCTAGTGGCAGACACTATACACTTAGGTCTTAGGGAACTTAGATTTTTTACTCACAATCTCTTTCCACATCCCTACTAATAGGAAATGGAAGGAAAAGACAAGAAAACCAATACAAGGATTGTAAAGGTTTCCCTACCTTTCCCTACATTTTCCTTCAAACTAAACATAGCCACAGGTCTTGTGAGCAGGAATGTGGGGGAGAAGTTTTTGTGGTCAGAAAATCCCAAGTGCTTAATAGGAGCAACTCAACGACACATTCTCCCCAATACAACTCAAAATCCTCCAAATGTCGTTACGCTTGATACCCAATGTTTTATAAGGATTATTAGGATGGGATCCAATCTCCCAAAGTATAGAACTTTTTAAAATATGTATATGCTTATTTATGCAAGCGGTATGTTTCTTTCGAACTTCAATCAATGGAATGCCACTTGGAGTCGGGGGGATTTCTTTCAGCTCGAATTTGCTGAGGAGGTTGTTGTCCTTGGTCATTGGGCACTCACCATTGTAGACCTGAATTAGGCCTTCGGGCTAGTTGTTGGCATAGGTTGAGAATATCTGCTCCTTGGCTGGAATGGTTGTGTTTCTGGGAATCAAAATGGTCATCACACCTTCGACAGTCTCGATACCGAGGCTGAGAGGACCGACATCGAGCAGCAATAGGTCTTGGACCTTTTGGTCGCCTTAACCACTAAGAATTGCAACTTGGATGGCATCTCCATATGCCACAACCTCATCTGGGTTGATACTCTTGCAGAGTTCTTTGCCATTGAAGAAATCTTGCAAAAGTTGTTGCACCTTAGGATTCCTGGTTGACCCACCAACAAGGACGATGTCATTGACCAGAGTCTTATCAATCTTGGAGTCCTAGAGGCACTTCTCAACTAGTTCCATGCACTTCTTGAACAGGTCCATGTTTAATTCTTCAAACCGGGCTTGAGTGATCGTTGCATAGAAGTTGATACCTTCGTATAGAGAATTGATTTCAATGGTCGTTTGTGTGGTGGAAGACAAAGTCCGCTTTGCCCTCTCACGGGCCGTCCTCAACCGCCGCAAAGCCCTCGCATTGCTACTGATGTCTTTCTCGTGCTTTCTCTTTAACTCAACAACGAGGTGGTTGACAAGGCGGTTGTGGAAGTCCTCACCCTCGATATGGGTATCTCCGACAGTGGCCTTCACCTCGAAAATTCCTTCCTCGATGGTTAGCAGCGAAACATTGAAGGTTCCACCACCCAAATCAAAGATGAGAACGTACTTTTCACTAGACCTCGAAGCCTTCTTATCCAAATCATAAGCAATAGCAGTTGTTGTGGGCTCATTGATAATCCTCATCACGTTAGGCATAGTAATGGCTCCGGCATCCTTCGTCGCCTGTCTCTGTGAATAGGCCGACACAGTGATGACAACGTTTTTGACTATCTGACCCAGATACGCCTTGACAATAAGGAGGAGGAGGAGGAGGAGAAGGAGAAGGAGAAGGAGGAGGAGAAGGAGAGAAGAAGGAGAGAAGAAGGAGAAGGAGATTGTTCCGTTAAGGTTGAATTTTTTTTTTTGGCTACTAATTGATTCCTTGCCATTTTATATCGTTTGGGCGGGAAAATCTTCGGTGGTTTTCTCATTGGCCAAGGTTAGGCTCGAATATAGGAGAATGGGAGGCAAATCATTCAAAACGAGATTTTTCAATTTTTTGTCTTTTAGTGTCTGGTTCAAACGGACGAATAGAAGTTAATGGCAAACGCCTGTTGTTATGTTGACGTTGGTTCAAAGGAGTCAATGCCTCCTATTGGAGGGTTCATACGCCCATAAACCTAAGGGTCCACTGAATCCAAACTCCATGTTATAGTGATATTTTTATCCTTGCTTTGGATCAAGCTCCCCCCCCCCCCCCATTTAGCGGGCTTCATCGTTCTCTAAGAAGCCCAACTCCTTTTACTCAAGGTTCAAAAAAAGAGTATCGGGCATATCGTATCGTATATTTTGGGTCTTGATACACCTGTTTACAGGTTTTTCGGGACCTACTATTTTTTAACTCCCAAAAAACCAAATAAAAAAAATAAAACCATTTTCATGTGTATTTAAGTATCGATACGCCTCTATCGATACACAAAGGGGTATCAATCCTTTGAACCATGCTTTTACTCTGCAATCCAGTAGCAACTCCCCGGTCGTAAGCTCTCAATTGAAGCTTATCACTTTTTAGAGGTATCTCATATATATACTCCAAGACCAAATCTGGTCCTCACAATGATGTCATAGGCACATATTATTTATTGTTCATGGGAATGTTCCCAATGCACGGTGGAATGTGCTGGTAAGGTCATTGTGAGGTGCCTTGTATTAGGAGCACATCTCACCTCATATAAGACGGAATCTGCTCCTCACACTTAGGTGCCTCACATGTAGCAACTCTCCGCCCTTTATGAGGAGCAGCTCACCTCATATACCCCAACTTTCTCAACGTACACTATTGACAACCGACATTCTACTCCTTTACAAAATGTTTGAAGTTGCCGGCTGTAAATCAAAAGTAAAAACGGTCAGTTGCAGCGTTATACCTCATGTGTTGCACCATTTATTCTAAACTGCTACTCAACGAGACCGGATCTGTTCCTCACACAGAACGCTTCACACGCACATTGTAACATGCATTGGAAAAATCTCCCATGCTTAAGAATTATTATTCACGGGAGATGTTCCCGTGGATGTGCATGTGAGGCGCCCCCGTGTGTCCCTACCCAAAACGCAAGTAAAACGTGAATGAGATATGGAAGATTGGAGTGTTGAACGACAAGACGGAAGAATTATACTCTTGTGCTTACATATTGCAAATGATCTTGGGCGGTTTGATCAAATTATCCTGTTAGGTTGTTAATTCGTATAGGTGTGGTTGAGATTTGAATCTCACCATTGACTTACGTTTTACGAATGGTTAAAGTTACGTTGCATTTAATTATGTGGATAATTCAAAAAAAAATCCAGAGTTTTCAATGACCGATGTACAATTGTACATTGATAGAGGTCACAGCATTTACTCCGTCTGACCGCTGCAGCTGAAGCATCACTTCTTCGGTGTACAGTCCAATAACTTCTTCAGTTAAAGGAAGAAACACAGTGAGCCTAACCATATCCGTATCACTCTCCACGGCTAACGTTGCTCAAGAGTCAAGACTCGGAGAGAAACTGCCGTTTCACGTTTGTACGACTGGGTAGTTCGATTTGATAGACACGGTCAGAGAGAGAGAGATTGCTCCTCCAGAATCCCCACCCCAATCCCCATATTTGAATCAGTTTTAACCGGTGAATTCCTATCGATAGGAAAAAGAAGAATGGCTGCAGCACGAATTCGACCAAGGATTCCTCATTTCTTCCAGTTCATTCACCGGTTGTCTCACTCTCAAGAAATCGTGAGTCCCTCTCTCTCTCCCTCTCGATTCAAGTTGTTAGGTGTCTAGTATGTGTCAACTTCCAGCCAATGTTAACATATGCATTGTTGCATATATACCCACAAACACAAGCTCGCTATGTTCTTCCTGTTATCATCCACCGTCTAAATCGAATTCACAGATTACACTCAACATATGCATGCATACATAGACATGTGTAATTAAGTCAAGACACTAAGACTGGATTTCTTTTATCAGTCTTTTAAGGAGTTATAGCGCCGTGTTGAAATGAGAGTGTTACGTTGCTTACATGCAGTCGATGCCGGCAGCTTTCCTCAGGTACTTAACTGCGGACAAGTGTGAAAAAGGCGAAGCGGTGTTGAGGAGCCGCCTTGGGGAAACTTGGCGTGTTAAGCTCAATGGGCTGCGTTTTCAACAGGGTTGGGAGGATTTCGCCCGGCACCATGATCTGCGCGTAGGAGATTTCTTGGTGTTCAGGCATGGTGGAGGGTTGGTCTTTGATGTTTTGGTGTTCGACACTAGTATGTGTGAGAGGGAGTACCCACTACTGTCACACGTTAAACAGGAAGATCATACTGATGAGGAGATGGAAGAAACAAGAATGAAAGAGGAAGCTGCTAAGGATATCCAAAGTAAGTTTGCGAGCTATATGTATAGAACCTTTGACATGTATTTGCACGACAATTAAAGAACCTCGACCTTTTGCGCCACCACTGATCTCTTGTGCCCCTTCTTGTTCTTAAGTCAGGCTCTCTTTGGCTCGAGGGATGCCCAAAATGGCTCCCAAGATTCCCAACTAGTTAATTAATTGTGTATGTTTTAGGTTTGCAATAAGTTTTTTTTTTTTTTTTTTGCATCAAACACCATTGGTGATTCTAATTGGCGATACATTTTCAACAGGTAAACAGAAGGCTACGAGAATTCCTATTTCCTCCAAAGCACAGAAGAAAATTGCCTATTCCGCGACAAAGCACCCCTTTTTTGTGGCTAAAGTCACACCATATTCTCTTAAGAAGCAGATGGCATGTTCTCTCTCTCTCTCTCTCTCTCGCTCTCTCCATGGATAACTTAATGGCGGAGGGTATGAATAGGCCTAAGGGAATTGGGTAACCATTAGCTATCTGGCTCTTTCTATTGATCACGTATTCACTTTCTAGTTCAGGATTTCAAAACCTATGTTTGACAGAAGAGAGCTCCATTTTTATAAACACTTTGACCAGCATTCCACTCCAAAGAAAGATAAAGTAAGAAAATTGATAGTTTCACCAGATGGAGAGGCCCATAGGCCAAAAGAATCAACCACTATAATGAATGGGGTTATTCATTGTTGTGGGGCTTACTCACGAACATGGTCACATAATACTTTTGGCGAGAAAAGGTTTGGATTAAGCTTTACTGCCCTTGTGGGTTTTTTAATTAGAATTGGTTGGATGCAGGCCATTCCGTTGGCTTTTGCTAGATCGAAAGCTTTAAGAAATTGTAGCCAGGTGACAATCAAAGATGAAAGCGGGAGGTCATGGCCGGTGAAAGTAAATCGAAAGAGTAATGGCCGGGCTTACTTTGGAGCCGGTTGGGTTGGCTTTTCAGCTGCTAACGGCTTGAAGAAAGGCGACGTCTGTGCTTTTGAGCTTACCTCCGGTGGAAAGCTTGGGGTAATGGAATTCCACTTGCTTTAAATTTTCAACATGAAATTATTGTTGTATTAACTTTTGGAGTTTGGAGTGGTATGAGCTATGAAGAAGAAAAAAACGTTGGTGTATGTGGTTGACTGGCTAGGAATAGGATTATATATAGTTTTCTGGTACCTGTTGATGATCTATATTGCGTTTAATACACATTGACGCTATATTAATTAGCTTTTTTTTTTTTGCTGTTACATTACCCGGTCCAATAGCTATGAAGGCATGTGAAGTGCAGTGCGGGTTGAATACTTGAATTAGGTTGTCCAAGTCTTCATTCCAACCTTTTTTTTTTCTACGTCGGGTTTGGGGCAACCCGATCCAAGCCAAGTTATACTATTGCCTGGGAACATGGAATATATAGGCCATGAAAATCCATGAATTTACTCGTATGGAGCTGTATGTCGCGCAAGTATAATTTGGAACAGGATGTGCTCCTCGCATTTGGGCGCCTCACATGTACATCCACGGAACAATTTCCCATGAATAATTATTAAATAAGTAAATGTATGTTAGGATGTACGTTTCAGACGCCCTATGTGAGGAGCATTCCGGTCTCATATAATTTTGCATTTAAGAGATGTGGGCTCGATAAAAGGATGATTTCAGTGATGAATTGTTGTTCGTTGTTTCCACATGAGACTATATTCGTCATAAAAGTGGAATCTGCCATGAGACTAATCTCACACCACAAGACGAAGTGGGATCTGTTCCTCACAAATGGGCGCCTCACAGGCATATTTACCAGAATATCTCCCATAAATAATAATTAATAAGTATGAGAGATATTCCTAATAAATGGTAGGACGTGCGTGTGAGGCACTTTACCTCTAAGGTGCCAGGTGTGAGGAGCAGATCCAGTCACCCATGAGAATGCGAAGTCACCATAAAAATGGGATACTCGCTATACATGAGATATGTCGTGTGAGATCATGTTAATAGAAGGTTGAAACGTGTTTTGTGGGCAGGTGATCCAGCTTCCTTTTCACTAATTAACCACCTGCGAGAGAGGAGACGTTGAAAATTTCATGAGAAAATTAAAAAAGTATCATGAGTGAGAGAGACCTCAAGTCACTTAAGTGGGACCCGGTGTCACGGGGTAACGCACACCAACAAAGGAGTTTTGTTGTTACACTCATGTTACAAAGTTCCATGAACCAGCATTTTTCAGGTCATTTTAATTTTGTGAAAATCACGTACCCAAATGCTAGAATGTGGAGCATGTACATTGGGGAACTTTGTGGCCACACATGACAATCTCTCTTGCATGCGTGCCACTTTTAAAGCCACTGAATTCGATTGAATCCCACAATGTTAAGAGGCATGCCAACAGAAGGGTGGATAGCGGTGCTGCCTTTTTTTTTTCAAGTCGAATCGGTGGTACCGATATTTGAAAAATCAAACTGAAATCGATCGATTTGGTTTATCAATTTTTTGGATTTGATATTTTCATAATATATACATATATATAATATAATATATAATACATATATATTTATACTATATAGATAATATAACCATCAGTTTCATCGATTTGATTTGGTTTTTCGATTTTTAATACTCACCCGCTATCGTAGCTTAGTTGTTATGTTACCTTACCACCAAATTGGGGGACCAAGTGTAGTGCTGCGTTCTTCAAACAATCGGGGAATTCATGTGTATCACCAAAAAAACCGTTCAAAGAAGCTTGGGTTTATACAATGACAGAAGCACCACTTCCTCACCCTCTATTGTGCCATGGGATAAACCTAAATCAGACCAATTTGAATGAAATCAAAGCATTAACTGCATTCGCGGACTCGCAAGTCATCGCAGCACTCACTCAACGATCATCAAATAAGCAAACGAAATAATAATATTCACCAAATACATAGCGCATGGAAGTATTACCCAGTTCCATAAAATATGCAAACTTATGGATATTTTTTACTTTAATTTTTTATTTTAATATAAACACAACTAACAAGTCTGTTTTTTGGTCACAGTAACATCGAGTCATTTAATAGAATCGAGATTCGGCAGATAGACATGATCGTTCCAGAAACCCAAAATCTAGCCTATCTAATCAATGCCTAAGAAACCATAGGCGATCAATGCAACTCACCCAAGCTACGTACCTAACATAACAACTTTTCACCAGCAACTGATCTAAGCACAAACCAATACCTACTGCTATGAACTTAGCATTTCTAATAAAGATATGGAATCATCAGAAATTGAACCTTCCATAATAGTGGCTCCTCAATAAACCAATTCCTACAGTCTATGCAACTTACTGCAACATACACGTGAAGAAAATATGTAGCAACATATCAGGAACTTGTATACTTTGTTCCCATTCTAACCATACATTATGATAAGATCAGGATCCTAATTCCTACCACAGCTGCAATATTTCCATGTCTTATATAGACTGCAATATTCACTTTCCTAGATCAAACATTGCAATCCCAACCTGGGAATCTGTCACAAGCCAAAAGGAACACCAACGCGACAGAAAAATGATAAATGGAAATGCTATTTCCACTCTGGCTCAGACAGTGTCACCGTGACATATTAACATGCCCAAAACATGAATGTCCAAGATGCTTTAGAGACAAACATGAAGGATAACACCAAAATCAGACTACTAAAAAGGGTTGACTAATTATTTATTATCTTCTTTATTAAACACCTATACGCTTCACTTCAATATTCCCGAAATCTAATTCAACTAAGATTATCTAGGTTGTATTCTTCCTACACTTTGTTTTTCGAAAAGCAGTACATGAATCAAAAGAATTACATCAAATAATTTAGAGGATAAAGAACCACAACAGCATCATTTTTCAACAAATGAATTTAAGTTCAGTGATTTCCCAATGTCAACAGCAGTATGAAAGGGAATGTACAGAACCGTTTAATTCTCCCATATTAACAAGTATGAAGTTCCCTTCATGTATCCTACTAGGAGAGGAACAAAACACTTCAGAAACCTACACCAATCAGATCAGAGATGTATCGACAATTACCCAAAATTCCACCAAAAAAAAGTGAATGTATGATATGCTAAGCTAGGCTAAAATCAAGTTGCTAGCTAGTCAGAGTCTGAGGAAGAGGATTCTGCAACTTCATCCACACAATCACCCTCATTTTCTGAAGAACGCGCATCATCATAATCATCATCCCAAGGGCCCTTAAAGACCACAAGCTGGTTACACTTATCCTCAAGATCTCCCTCTAACTTCACACTCCAACACCCTTGAATATCAAGGTGAGTAAGGGCCCTACACTTGGTAAAGATGGCATCGAGACCACGATCACTGAAACGTCCAAACCCAAGTTCAAGATGGCGAAGTTTCGGCATTGTATCAGCTATGATCATCGCCTCCCCATCGTCCATCTTGGCAGCATCTACCTCTACGGCTAGCTGCTCCCACTCCGGCGGGGGCATATTCCGCTTCAAATGAGTCAAGGCCTTGCAATGCTTCCCCAGAGCTTCAAGCCCTTTGGAACTGATTTTCAAACAGTAACTAATGTCCAAGACCGTCACCATTGCCAGAGATTCCGCGTGCTTCTCCACCATTTTGTCTGTCACATCGCTCATGGGAATCTTAAGCACCTTAAGGCATCTGCCACTACAACAATGAGAAGAGGATATGGTTTACGATTGAATTTGATATACCATGACTACTTTCGCTGGTCACTTAAAGAGCAAAGCGTTTCTGGAAACAATTCATTTGCTCTGTTTTCCGTTTTCCCTTGAATCTATCATCTAGAGCGACTTATTTTATTTGGTAAAAGACTCGTCGGTTCAAAATCAGATTTGATTGCGCATTCCCTCCGATAAAAAACAAAAACTCAATATAACTGAAGGAACAAGAGATGAAACAGAGGGGAAAAAAGAAGTTAATTACCAGTTGGCTACAAAGGAGAATCCGGAGTTGCCAAGCTTGTAAGCGGAGAGTCGACGAAGGGTCCCCTTGCTGCGACGGACAAGCCTGCGAACAGCAGAATCGATGAGATCGGAGCGGTTACATCGGCGGCACCATTGCTCGACGTCAATGTCAGTCCAGCAGTAGGGTCCGGCAACGACTTCCCGCCAGGATTTACAGACGAGAGGAATCGCTCGAACTAATTGGTCTGCCGGGATCCGAACAAATATCAAGGCCAGCAACTCCGGGCTCAGCCCTTCCCACCAGCCTGATACGTCAGCTTTTCGATTACCGCCGACGTTATTAGAAACGGCGACGGTACCTGTGAACGAATCGGAGTAAAATCTCTTGGTTTGCCGCTCTCCATCCATCCTGTCTCTCCGTTTCCCTTGCAACAGCAGAAGTCTTTCGATATTTTTTTGGATTCTCTGTTAGAATTAGTAGGTACCGTAGAATTAGAAGACATGGCGTGGGCCGTGGGTAACCCTACGGCTACGGGCTATGAAATAGTACGAATGCCAGTTTTTTGAAATTTGAGCGTTTTATTTTCGGGGAGGGGGCCCGGGCCCCGGGGGACGGCGGAGTGCCGCTGTGAAGGGAGGAGTGATTTGGGGTCGGGGTACAAAGTATGAATATGAAAAGTCACAAAACCCCCCATGTTTTGATTACTTCACAACACTACAACTGTGACTTCTTTGTCTTTTCAGTTGTTAGTTTTTGGTAACTAAACCTCAACGTGCTCATTTAATTTTAATTTATATTTTATTAACTTCTGACTGTCTCATGGAGGAGAGTGGTCAATAACTCGCGTGAGTTTCACGTATTCTGGCGTGATAGGTAACTAATTCTGCTTTTCTTTTCCCTATACTATACGATTCGATTTTCCTCTACACCTCGGAGCCGGAGGGTTTTTACTGTTCAATTATAACGAGCATTCCACGTATTTTCTATCACGTGACGAATTTAATATATGCGCTGTGCGCACAAACACAAAATATGCAACAACTAACATTCTTTTGAGGAATCTGGATACATCGGGTTCCGTTCTTTTTTAGTGCGAATCTACCCGATTCGGATCAATGAGTAATTAAAAAATTATTTTGTAACTGTTACTTAAAATTAGCGGGGACTCGTGCGTTGCACTGAATTTATTAAAGAAAGTTAAATAATAAAAATGGTTATTTATTAAAATATTCCTTACAATTTATTAAAATCTACTCTATATTTAACATTTTATTAAAATACTGTTTATAATTTGCAATGAATTTACAGGGCGTTTGGTTTTTTTTTACGTTTATTGACGACAGCTGTTTGTAGAAAGTGGTGCCCAATTGTCATAAACGGCTACAATTATTACATTTTTCGATTTTACCAGTAAATAAAGTACAAACGTTTATTCAAACAACATAAATGGAACCAAATACATACTTAATAAATCTTCCATTAGGTGATAGTGGAAAACCACAGTGTTGACCCTAATGCTCATTTGGATAAATTTAATCAACAGAAAATAAAAATAAAAATATTATATTTGCCCGTAATAAGACACAATTCTATTGGCTATATTTGGTCATTTTTGTATTATGTACCCAAAAAGTGTTAAGAGTATTTTTGAAATAAAAAATCATGGGCTTAATGGCAAAACAAACACTCCTTTATGAAAGGTTGATTAAGTAAATAAGTTGTAAAATATATGGGATGTTTTAGTAAAATGAAAACTATAAGGTGTGTTATAGTAAATGACCCTAATAGAAACACATAAGAATATATAATTATCTTATATTTTGAATTTTTTAAATAATTAATAATTATTCATATTTTATATATACTACTTTTAATAAATTTTTTATAATGCAAGAATAATAATAATTAATTTCAAATAGGTTTATTCATCAAACTGATTAAACCGACCAACCCGATCAACTTGACCCGAGTTGGTCGGCTTCTAGTCTTTTAGGTTGGCTTTGGTTCCAAAATTTCTTAATTCGACCAACTTGGATTAGTTTCACTTAATTTTTAAATCTAATTTTCCATATCTCTTAGTGTAAAATGTTTTATATCATAAATCTAATTTTTAAGTTTATTTTTTTAATAATTGCACTATAATTTTTAAAATTAAATTTAATTTGTAAGTTTAAATCTTTTTAACCGATTGATGAACAAACAAAAAAATATACCCAAATCGATATAACTTGAGTGGGTTGATTTTCACAAAAGGTTAGTCGGTTTCAACTTACCAAGTCCCCAAGCTGACCAGGTCAATTTAGTTGGCCAAATAGCCTACAACCGAACTGAACTAACTTATGAACACTCATAATTTCAATTAAATTAATAGTCTCATCTATGATAAATAACAATAGTTTAATCACCAATAATTATTGAAAATAAATTGATAATGAAAAAATACAATAACTGCTAAAAATATATTAACTTAGTTAATAAATATTATAATCTCAACTAATAGTTCAATTTTTAATAAATATTAATCAATAAGTTATAATAAAAATACAATATGTACAATAAATTAAATTTAAAATTTTCAATAATAGTAGTTTATTCTCCAATAAGTATTGAAAGTTTGATGTTAAATAATAACACAAAATAAATTTATACATAATCATTGAGAATACATTTATCATAAAAAAATAAATAATTACTAAAACACAATAAATATTAATTTTAGTATATATAATTATAAAATAAATGCAGATTAAGAGTTTAAATTATTATTAATAAATAATTTTTTGAAGTTATTTTCTCGAATTATTACTTGATATAGGTGAAATTAGTTATTTACAGCATTATGTAAAAATATTAAATTATTATTAATTTCAATATTATGTTATAATTATTTTTCTACTTTTTAGAATTTTTAAATTTATTACATAATTTCTTTCTTTTAACTATTTAAATTCTAATTATGTTAACTACTTTGTTGTTTTAAATATTTAGTTATTTAAATACTTAAATAATATGTGAAATATTTAAGTTTTAAAACATTAATTATTTATTGAATTTAATTATCCATAAAATCATAATTTATACATTATTACATAATTTCATTATCAATTTTATAATATATTAAATTATTATTAATTTCAATATTATGTTATAATTATTTTTTTACTTTGACAAAAAATTTTAAATGTATTACATAATTTTGTTATTTTAACTATTTAAAATCTAGTTATGATAAATATTTAAATTTTTTTGTTACTTGAATTTTATTTATTTAAAGCAATTACATATTATTAAATATTTGAAAAATATTTAAATTTATAATCTGGAAAAAATAATTTAAATAGTTTGTAATAATTATGTGATATATTTTGTAAAAATATAAAATTATTTTTTATGTTTTTTAAATATATTTTAAAGTTATTATATAATTTTGTTAGAATATTTAAATAATTCTTAAATTTTTAATTCAAACTTTCTTTAGATACATATAGATATAAAGTAGGGAAGAGAATAAATAGGAATTAGAGATAATTTAGGAAAGAAATCTCTACTAAATTAGAGATAATTTTGTAGATAGATAGGAATTTGAGATAATTTAGAAGATAAATAGGAATTAGTGACAATTTTGGGAAAAATGGGAGATAATGTGGGAGGTAGTTTAGGAGAAATTTTAGGAGAAGGGATTATTTAGGTTATTGGGAAAGTGCATCTCATTGGTTGTTTAAAAAATGACATAGGAATAAAAAAAAATCAAAAAATCAAAAAAAGTAGAAAATTTATTCACTGCCTTGCTTTAATATATATATATATATATATAGATAGAAGGATAGATAAATAAATAGATTGATAGATACTTCATTTATCTTTGAAAAAAATCAAAAATCATTTTTTATAGTTGTCATAATATTTGTTAAGTGTTCATTGAGTGTGAGAGATCCCGCTCCCAATCTATCACCCATACTCTTACAGGCTCGAGCTTGGCTCCCAATCTTCACGAGCTACTCGAGCCTGTGATTTGGGAAATTTTGTGCAAAATGCAGATACATGGGATTGGGGCTGTGATTTAAAGAAACTGGAATTAAACTTTCTTAACCAATTGCCTGCTTTCCTCTTATGTGACAAAAGTGTGATTTCTTCTAACGTGCTGTCATCTTCTTTAGACAGCCTGATATGTCCCTCGAAGCCTCTTCGGTTCATATCCTGATTTTTTCTTTTCTGGTTTTCCATCGTATTTCCAACACTTTTTGTTAAACTATCATCACTGGTTTGGATCCGTGCTGGGACAGTATAATGGCCATCATCGTGGTATTTGAAAGATTGATACAGTACAGATTAAATTGAGAGTTTTTGTAAGCTTAGATACTACAATGACACGACTTGAAATTTAGGTCCTTGACACTACCCTTAAAGTACAGACTATTAATCTGGAATTTTACCTTGAGGTAACCTCTCTCTCTTCCCTCCGTTATTCTCTTTCTTCCAGTTCTCCTTCGTCAAATTTGCCAAGGAGGCTGAGGACGACATGTCTCTCACTTGCCAGTCCCAGGTCTACTGGAACATGAAACCTAGTCACAAGTCCTAGATCTACAGACGGGTGATATTCTCATTTGTTAAAGTTGTCTGACCGCTGAGGGAGGAGAGGAGGAGAGGAGAAGTCTTGTCAACGAAGGAAGTAACGGTTGGAGGAGGGGGGGGGGAGGAGAGAGAGAGACGCTATTGGAAAGGTCCGCCATTGTTGCAACTTGCTGTAGCAGTGGTGATGAAAAGGGGCGAGAGGGAGAAAGAGAACGAACGGAGAGAGAGGGAGAAAGAGAACGGACGGAGAGAGAGAGAGAGAGAGTTGCAAAGAAGTTTGGACTCATGGCTTCATCCATGATTTCTTCAGCATTTCCGACAACAAAAGCACTGCCGCTGCTGCAACTGTGTTTCTGCTCCCTTCAGTTCTGTTTTTGGATCTACCAAAATCACCGCCACCGCTGCAACTTCCAACATCAGCGGTGATTTCTTCCTCCGCCCCCTTCTCCTCTTCATTCTCCCTCTCCACCTCCCCTCTTCTCATATCAGGAGTTCACCGGAAAACCAGCCCAACTGAGATAACCCTCTTACACAGTTTTCCAGTAAAAGGGATCAGGAGTTTGCCGAAAAATCAGCCCAACTAAGATAACCCTCTTATACAGATCGCCGAAAATATTAGAGGGTAAATTCAATAATTCATTTTTTAGTATTAACACTTAAATGGCAATGTCAATGGATATTTTAAGACAATACACAAACAGTAAGGATATAGTATGAGATGTGATTTCTATTGAAACATATATACAGACGCACACACTTATCTACAAATACCCTACAACTTCAAATTGGGATTTGTGAGTATCTGAATCAATAATATACAAGTACAAATGGTTGTGAGTAGCAGATCCAATCTCCTTTTTTACCCAAAGAGGCAAATCGGATTTGGTGCTCATCAAATTGTGCTCACACTGTTCTTACAGCCCTTTTCAGTTGTGCATTGATAAAATCGCATACAATCATAGAAATATTCCCAATGTATGGCTGAAAAGGGCTAGGAGACACTTGACAGATGTGCAAGTCATATTGAGGTCAACCGTAAGCCAGCTTGACTGTTGAATCCCTAATCTAACCCGATGGTTTCTGTTGGAATAGGATCTTATCGGGTTGAGATTTGGTCCAATTTCTTGATTTCTTTCTTTTAGAATCTTCTTACTTCTTACATTTAAGCTGGCATATAATATGGACCGACTTTATTGTTAATATAAAGTTTTTTTTCTTTTGTTTTTTTGAGAAAGATAAAGTTTGTGTGTTCTACTGTTTTAGGAGTACTGTAAGTTATGTTAGAAAATTTTTTCCTTCAAATTTGAAAATTATTGATACAGTCTTTAAAATATGATGCCATACTTTTCATTGGCTTCATATCGAGGTCTAGATCAAAAAATTTCAAAGGTATTATATAATGTGGAGGGTAATTATCCAAGTGTTAATCTTTAAATCTAATCACTGATATTTTTTAGGATAAATTACACATAGGTACCCTGTATTTTGGGGTAATAGTGACAAATAGGTATGAACTTTTAATTATAACACTTGATTATCTTAAAAACGCAGAAAATAAACACTTGGGTCCATCAATTATTATTCCGTAAGTTAAACATTACATAATGTAAAAAATACCATTTTCATATATTTTTGAAATCATTATATGAAGTAAAATCATCACTAGAGAATGCCATCGTCAGAAAATTTCAATATATTATTTGTTGTTCATGTGAGAATAATCTCAACAATACACGAAAAAGATATTTTTGATATTATATAATATTTAACTGACAAAATACTAATGAATAGACCTAAGTGTTTATTTTTGAATATTCAGGGTATCTATCTATCACTATCCCAAATTACAGGGTACTAATTTACCCTATTTTTATAAGACACAGATACACTGCAAAGAGGACCTAGGTTCCCATCCCCATTACTTAAAGAGAAGATAGGACAGTGGACTCAAGGCCGAATCCCTCGTTCAAATGAGGGCCCAAATACGATCAAATTCTGTATTGCAGACTATAATTCGGCCAACTGGCAACTTCACTGCAATCTATTTACTCGATTAATGCATGTCAAATGTTATTAGAATTTTGGATTTCTTGATTTCGCTCTTCTAGTTCAGCTTTTATTTTCCATTGGTTCAGTTCTATAATGCTCTACAGTGGGTTCCAAGGAAAAGCCTGTACTTAAGCCTTCTGAGTTCAATTCTTGATTGGACGTGAAAATTGGTAATATAATCCTATACATGCCATACGATCTCCATACATTTGTAATGAAACAGCTGTCACTGTTTAGTAGAGACTACCCACTTCTGCATTATAGTGCCTGGTAGCTTACCGTGGCTGACGCCTGGAGTGGAAGGGCTGGTAGCCCGGTGCACGGCAACGCCATCAGAAAGACACAGAAGTAATAAGACATCACAGATGTCTGATCTCGCTATGCATGTTATTATAGCTGGTAGGTGAAGCGGGTAAATCTTGTAACTTGTGCAGTGCAGGAGGTAAATTGACAACTTAACCCCCTGGAAGGAGGGATGGTGCATTCAATTTCCGTCATGATTTTTCGGTAATTTGGCCGTATACCAAGTTCGAATCTACAACTGGCAGTAACAAGAAAAACAAAAGGGTAGCAGTATCAATTATTTTTTTTTATCACTCACCATTATCGACCACCGTCTCATTTCGGATATCAGGTCAGGCCGTAGTGTCCTTCAAGGCAGGACCGACCATCCAAGCTGCCAAGCCATCTGACCTTTTTTGTACCAAAACACAGCGAGTAGGTCCGAATTCCGGAGGATGCCTGAGGCCAATGCTTTCGGTGGGTCCGTAAGGCTCAGTTTCCGTCGGTTTTACTTTCAACTTTCAAGGAGAATGCCCTGTGGAGCCACTAGATAGATAGATACTACACACCAGCTGGACGCTGGAGCCTGGACAGGTTTGCAGGCAGACCCAGCTCCATTATTATCTGGAGACAAGGACTGGTACTGTAAAAAGGAAAAAAGAAAAATTGCAGACTGGAGCAATGCTCAACTGGGTTAACCGGACCCCAACGGTTCAGACATCAGAAACCAAAGCCTGTGTATCACAACTACGGCCTGACAGAAAGGTAAGAAAATACCAAAATCTACTAAAGTTGCCACAATGCAAACACTGTACACCTTACTCTATAGAAAACTACAAGTGGAATCATCAATCTTTTCTTACCAATTATATGCATATGAATGATGGAGTGATAGATCTTCATACGCATTCCGTATAGAGAGCTTTACATTTTTTTTTGTCACTCGGTAGTCTGCGATATTACCTCTCCGAATTTCAGGAATAGTTGTGCGTCAGAGGTGCCGAGGGATGCACAGTTTATCATGTGTGGGTTCTTGAGATTGGCGTACTCGTCCATGTAGCTAGGCACCTTGGCTGCCGGCGGGGGTGCTGATGGAGGTTGAGCCAACTGTTTAGTTTCAGAAGAAGGCATGAGGCAACCAAGGACGCGCGTTACCTCATGCATTGTTGGTCGATCGGAGGGCTGTTTCTTGGTGCAGAGGAGAGCAAGCTGAAATACCTTCTTTACTGCTCCGAGATCTGTACATGTGGCAGTGATCTCCGGATCAACAGTCTCCATAACAGCATTGTTCGCAGTCTTGGACATGATCTGTAGATGAACAGGATGGAAATTCAAAACTGTCACGCAACGTAATCAAATCATGTGCAAAGAAAAAGGACAACAAAAAACGGTTAATGGCAGACCAACAACCAGATCAATAGTGAGTGGGAGGAAGCTATGGGATGGGCTAATTCTGTAAACTCATCCATCTTGAAGCCTAAAAAGTCTAAAAATTGATATGGGTACAAACATTGGATACGTTGACATGCTTTTAAAAACTATAAAACTTTGGGACCCTCTAATACCTATAAAAATAAGAAAAATAACAGAAGATATTGACCATATGTGGTGCATATCAATATTTTAATCCTTGACCACCAACTTGGCAGAAATGAGCTCAAAGAAAGCGTTACATAGCCCAAAGTTGATCTGGTGACGTCTATGAGCGAGTTTTGGCATTTTCAAATATCCAAAGCATGACAAGATCTTTCTCATGTCACACTCTGAAGTTCCCCAAAATAAGAAGAGATAACTGAGAAGTCGGTCTAACCAGCTGATGGAGATTTGAATCGTTGTCCACTGCTTTCCTACCAGTCAGCAACTCAAGCAGTACAATCCCGTAGCTGTAAACATCGGACTTCTCCGTGAGGCGAGAGGTGCGGGCATACTCAGGATCAATGTAGCCAATAGTGCCCATAATGTAGGTTGAGGTATGAGACTTGGATATACATAAACTCTTGGCTATACCGAAGTCTGTAAGATGGGCCTCAAAATCCTTATCCAAGAGAATGTTGGATGACTTAACATCCCGGTGGATTATTCGTGGGCTGCAATCATGATGGAGATATGCCAATCCTTGAGCTGCTCCTAGTGCTATTTGAAGGCGAGTATCCCAGTCGAGCTTCTTTTTCTTTGTAGGGCCTGTAAAACACGGTGTGTAAGAAAGAAACTACTGTATTAGGAATCATATCAGGGTAAATGTATGGCTAGCCCATTATTGATTTAGGACAACTGCAGCATTTAGTTTCACTGGTCTCTTAACATCATATAAGATAAAAGTAAAACTAATGTCATCACCCCAAGTCAAGAATTCAATAAATAAACAAAGTCTACAGTATAACTGCCAGTCATCCAAAACAAAAATCAAAGCAGATTAAGGCAAAGCCAGCTTTTATACCAACTGTCAAGGTTGGCAAAGAATCAACAGCTATGTAATAGTATTTGACCACGCAATTCCAATAATCAAAGAACGCATAGATGATTTACCTACACAATCAAATCATATAAGATGGGCAAATAAAAATTACCGTGTAGCAGATCCCAGAGACTGCCATTCTCCATGTAGTCATAGAACAGAAGGTTCCCACAGGGAGACAAGGAATAACCTTGGAGGCTGACCAAATTTCGGTGCTTGATGCTCCCAATTGTCTCAAGCTCTGTCTCAAACTCCTTAAGGCTCTGTGGATGATGAGAGTACAATCTCTTGATGGCCACTGGTCTGCAATTCTTCAGCACACATTTGTACACTGTGCTTGATGCACCATAACCAATTATATACTTCTCACTCAAATTCTCGGTCATCCTCATTATATCCTCGTACACATGTAGAGCCATGTTCATATGAAGAATAACCAGTTTGGGTGACGTATAGTTAACTGTATTTTCAGACAGATGCCAATGAAAAGGAAATCAATGTTAGGGTACACAATACGTTAAGGCTGTCTTTCAACACTGGTGTAAAAGAAATAAATTTCCATTTCCAATACCAGTTGCCAACAAGAGTACCACAGTTTTTCTGGAAAAGGTGTGAGGACATCCTACGTAGTAAAACGGGACCCACCTGGTTTACTTGGAGATCCTTCTGGAAATGGTGCTGGATGGTGTGGCCGACATGCGGCCACCAATATCATAAGAAGGATCACAAGCGCACCCAAGGCAATCCCTAAGATAGCTGCTTTAGAAATCGAAGCTGCACAATATAAAGACATGCAACAAGAGAAAAAGTTCAGACGTTTTTTTACTGATACATTTGGTTACTTTTCAATCATTGGGTGTACAAGAACATCAATGTGCTATCCAGGGTTTTGAATTTCAAAACAAGTGCCATTACCTAATGTTGGTCCTGGCTATCCAGGGTTTTGAAGTTCTCTTGTCAACCCAAGAATTTACCATGGCCCCTTGAATATCAGTCTTTTTTGGGATCAAGAATATTTCTATTGTCTTCTCGTTTTTGACAGTATAGGTCATATTGAACAAGGTCAAAAAGGAACAACAATAAACGATATGATACCCTTTTTCTGATATATAATACCCCATCTTTTTACCATTGCACCAAACCATGGTGTCTTGATCAGTCGTTTGCATCACGAATATTTGTGTTGTGTTCAAATTTCAAAACACAACCACAAAAGTCATAATACCCGAGCACTTATACAACAGGAGCCCTAGCATAAGCATCCAATTGTGGGAGAACCTTAGTGTGCAGCACGGCACAGAATTTGTAAACATTAGACATTTACAGCAATTCAATAAAAACAAGCATTACCTCAGCTTGTCAACATTAATATGTTTACCAAATTGACAGGAAACATGTCAAATGACTTCATAAAGTCAGTACATACCTCTTTCTGGTGGATGGGATACATGGCATCCTGAACTGAACCAATAGCCACATAGAGCAGGATTTCCAATGAAGCTACAAACAAGATGGTTATCCACAATAGAATCAGAGAATGCCAAGAAAATGTATGGCAATGAAACTGGGAAGATTAGGCTGAATCTCAGTAAAATGGCAATAAAAGTTGTTTTTAGCTTTCTCACCTATCTGGCAAAAACCTTGAGAAGTTATTGGCAGTAGGAATATCGCCAGCTAGATTGTTATAAGATATGTTCCTGCTTGCACAGTGGGTCCACCATTTTTAAGATAACAATGTACCATTTCACACAAACATAAACCAACTAAATCTTATTTCAGAATAAACTTACAGGATGGTAAGACTAAAGCAGCTGATTAGAGACAGCACATCCCCTGATAAGTTGTTATTCTCTAGCTTCCTGCAATTTTTTGGTTCAAAGATTAAAACTTCACGGGATGGACAACAGATAATGGTATTACCAATTAAGGTTCAAAATTCCATCCCCGTATCAGCCAATACGTATTCTATCAGTGACCAAAATAGGGGTATTAACATTTTTATGGGCCATAATGGAAGTTTGGTCCAAAAGAAGGTGGCCCGGGGTCCTTTGCATCTTTTGCACCCAATTTTGTTTGGACAATAAATTCAACCAATGCCAACAATAGTTTGAACATCCCAAAACTATAATTATTTGCTTGAATGATAAAGAGGTCCAAATTGGATGGTGACAAGGAAACACAAGCACTTACAGAGAGTACAAATTCTGTAGCTGACCAAGTTCCTGAGGAATTGGACCTGAGAGGTGATTATTTGAAAGGTCTCTACAGTGCACAAGAATGGTTGGCTTAGCCACAGAACAATCACAAAAATCTTTATAAAATCAGTAGTAACAGTTCCAAACAACTTACATATCCATGATACTCCTCAGGTTCCCAAACTCTGCCGGGATGACTCCAGATAAATGATTCTTGCTTAAATTCCTTTTCAGGAAACAAAATTGACATTAGCATAAAGATCTTTTTTTTTATGTTAAAGAAAGAGATTCACCAATTGGTAGAACTCACAGTTTTAGAAGATGCTCCAAGTCACCAAGGGAAGAGGGAATGAAGCCACTAATCTTGTTATTGGAAATATCCCTGAAGAAAAAAAATGGGAAGCAGAATGATGGTTAAGCAGCTTTAACAGTGAGAACATAAGAACATTCTAGATCAATTTTATACTTACAGAGTATCCAAATTGCCAATTCGAGACAGCTCAATTGGGATGGGGCCCTTAAGATTGTTTGAAGACAGATTCCTGTACATAATGAAAAGAAAGTGGTGATTTATCATGGGAGTAGCCGAGCAAACAATATTAGTTTTTTTTATAAATTCAAGTAACCAGGACTCTAAAGTGTTCGGTCCAAATATTAAAAAAAAAAAAAAGAAAAGAAACCAGCATTGTAAACAGATTATCTCGTATATGGGTTCTCAATGAGGAGCTTCAAGTGAAAAATCTTCTGAATCAGATATCTGATTTTTGTGATAGATTAACAGCATCCATTGGTACATCTGTATTGATGAAAATATGTACTCACAAGTATGTCATACTCTCAAGCCTTTCAAATTCAGGTGGGATGGTTCCATTCAAATTATTGCCATGCACATTTCTGTCACAAAATTCATGAATCAAAAATATTGACAAATAGATTGAAAAGATCAAAGAACACAGAAACGGGATAAAGTTTAACTTCTTACAGACTATTGAGATTTGTGCATGAACTAAGATTATCAGGCATTGGCCCTTCAAGATTGTTGTTAGCCACATTGCTGTGAAAACATTGCACAAGTACTCGCTTCAATAAACATGGAAACTATACTCTATAGTGGATAGAACTTTAGAAGTAACCATACTCAACTAAAGAAATTTAGAAAATTTACATACAGGTCAAACAAATCAGTGAGCTTCCCAAGCTCAGGGGGAATTTTCCCAGTGAGCTGATTGTCATTCAATTCCCTGCACATGCAAATATTGAAGGCATTGAAGTACAAATTTCCATCCAAGACTCGAAGTGAACTGTGGATCTAGTACTGTAGTTGAGCTGGAATTTCAAGCAAATATTGAAGGCATTGAAGTACAAATTTCCATCCAAGACTCGAAGTGAACTGMGGATCTAGTACTGTAGTTGAGATGGAATTTCAAGTCACCCAGTTTTTTGGTTAAAAAACTATCCCAATTTACTGTCCCATACCATGGATATTAGGAGTTTTGAACCTTATCATCTTTTTATTTTCGTGTGAGTTTATTGAAGAACACAGGCTATACACACAAGTTAGCCTGATCCACCAGAATCGTCTAAGATAATAATACCAATAAGATCACCCTTGAATATTCCCATTCTAACTTTCTGGGTCTCAAGACAAGATGTATTACAAGCAGAGATGATAGCTAATAAGACCTCCAAATTCAAAATAAGCCCTAAAGATAATTCAAACTATTAATCAATGGAACAGTATTTATGGACAGTCAGAATTTTAAATTAGGTATGTTTTAGTTTTAGCCTGAATATCGAACACAAGGTCTCTCCAATCAAAGAATCCTTACAGGTAAGAAAAAACATATGGGAGGGGAAAAATATTGCAGCACAGTTTATCATCAGATAAAGCATTCGAAGAGAATGAACAATTATCCTTACAGGTAGTGGAGCTTTGTCATGTTCCCAAGTTCTGGTGGAATAGGACCTGTCAATTTGTTGCCATGCAGGTACCTACAATTATGCGTATACACATCCTAATCAATCCACTTTCTATGATAAATAGAATGTGAAAATTAATTAATAAGTTTCATTAAGTATTAAGTTAGTTAAGAGTGAAATGCAACCCAATCTGAGTATAAAAGTAAAAAATGGCAAAATTGGTTTGCTAGTAAGGTTCTTATGTACAAACTGGCCTTGATTATACAATCTGCCATGGTGTCATTGTATTCCACAGGAATCAAAACAATAAAACATTCAAAGATATCACTACAGAATGGGCAGCTTTTTCATTTTGGACAAACTATGCCCCACACTTCAACACCCATTCCTCCCATTTGTTGACATCAATGAAATCAAAAAGCACCCCCCCCCCCTCCTCCCTCAAGCACACTACTATTAATTTCGGAGGCAAACTAGATGGTTGTCAATGTTCTGTACATTCCACCCACTATGAAGTTGTCTCCATGAATGCATTAAATTTCAAAGTAGTTTACAGATATGATAGCAAAAATCAAAGGATAACAAACCAACTATACACTCAACTAATCTATGGTGAATTATTTCTTCAATTTAGCAAACAAATGTATCTAACAAAATAAGCATCGAAATGCTTTAAGCAGGCTAGCTTACAATTTCTCAGTGTAAGTCAGATTGCCAAGAATGGGAGGAATAGGTCCAGTTAACAGATTGCAACTCAAATCCCTGCATCCAAGAGACACATTACACAGAAGCCCACCAAAAAGGAGATGGGTCCACATTATAGTCTCAAAAAGATGAGCAGCAAAGTAACCCCAGGAATAGCATAAGATGAGAAAAGCAGAAAGCCACAAAAAGAGAACTAATTCCACAAGTTCCAAGAATGGTAAATCTACAATGCTTACAGTACAGCAAGAGCCTGCATCAAACCAATCACTGATGGTATCTTCCCAGAAAGCTGGTTTCCTTGCAAAGATCTAGAATACCAAGAAAAGAAATGAAAAACATGTTACTAGGAAAAGAAGGTGCAACATGGATTCCACACTAGAAAAGGTTAGATATCACATACAATGTAGCTACTTGTAGGAATCCAATATTGAATGGAATCTCTCCGGTAAGCTGGTTGTAGGACAAATCCCTACCAATCATGGAAAAAAAATTAGACATCTTAAAAACCAACCAATTTGGATATTTTGAGGAAACATGACCCATTTGAGTAAGAAGATATACATACAAGACCTGGAAGCCAGTACAATTGCCAATATTTTGGGGAATGCTTCCAGTTAAGCTATTGTTTCTTACATCACTGCATTAGGTAGAAGATGGAAATCAAGAGCCCATCCGTGTTGCAAAGGCACATCGTTAATTATCAATATACAAGAGGGATAAGTCAGTCATAACTTACAAATACCACAGTCCAGTCAATTGGCACATATCAGGAGACAAGGTGCCTACCAAATTGTTCCCTCTCAATCCCCTGAAATGACAACCTCCCTCAATATCACAAATATTTAAAAATCATCCCAGTAACAGGAGAAAATGGTAGAAAGAAAAAAAAAATCCTAAATTACAAGTCAAGAAAAAAAAAGAAAAGGAATAATTTGTTAAAAGGGAGAATTTGTCAACTTACAGATACTGCAGAACTTCATTCCAGTAAATGAGCCTGGGTATTTCCCCACTTAATTTGTTCTGTGCCAGGTCCCTGGAACATCGGTGTTGGAAGTCATACTTGTCAACCAAACCCAACTGAAATAATAATGGAAAAGGATGCAAACAGATGCTTACAAAATCTTCAAGTTAGGAATCTGAGATAATGTTGAAGGAATTGGTCCAATCAGATGGTTATTTTTCAAATACCTGGAACATTGATTTATGAAATTATTAAACGTTGGGACAGAAAAGAGACAACTTAAACAAAAGGTAGAAAGTCAGTCTACAGCATTAGAACATAGAAGCTTACAGGGACTCTAGCTGTTTCAATTTTGAGATTGAAAATGGTATATCCCCAAAGATGTCGTTGAAGGACAAATCCCTGAAATGTCAGCAGATAACCCACATGCAAGTTAATAAACAATCAGCATACAGTGTAACAGATATAGGAGTTTGTTGACATCAAACAAGACTTACAGGCTCTTCAAAGATGAACAGCCACCAATCTCATCAGGGATCTGTCCAGTGAGACGGTTTCCCCTCAAGTCACTGCCGGAAAAAAGCAATAGAAGAATTACTTAAGAGCCAAAACTACAAGGAGTTCAAGCAAAATACAAGTTCTAATAAACTGCGTAGTTGATCATTAGAAATGTAGAACAGTACATGGAGAGTACGCTCTTCAAATCACCGATGGCAGGCGAGATTTCTCCACCAAGATTTAAGTCCGACAAGTTCCTGCATTTTGATAAGGATAAAGGAACTAAAGTAAAAAACTCTTCAAAGTTTTCAGAAATAACAAATCTTCAGAGAATGAAGTTATAACTTAAGAAGCCTCAAAACATCCCTAAAACCACTACATCGTGGTCGTGTTCAAACTGGCTGAAGGAAGATCTTACAGTGCAATGACGTCGAAGGTCACATTGTCGCAGGTTATCCCCCTCCATGCACAGTAGTCCGAAGACGGTGAATCCGTCCAGTCATATAGCACGTTGTCCACATCCCGAAAGGATTTCTTGATCTCCAACAACGTAGCTCCTTAAAAGAAGTAATTCGAAGGAAAAAATTAAAGAATAGAACAATATTCATTGATATTCAAATCTGCTTGTTCTCTAGTCCATAATCCAGATGCTAAGAGTTGAAGAACAAACAACGAGAAGAGTAAAGAAATGTTTAATATCAAGCAAGAAGAAAAGTTCTATACGGACCCATTAAAAAAACCTAGCAGAAAGAAGAATCGATAAAATAAATAAATAAATAAACAGGGATATGTTCAAATAATGGCGGTAAGTGCTCAAATCCTTCATTATAAAATAATCTGAATAAGTACTACTAAGAGAGAGAACACGGATCAAAAAGACTAATGGAGAAGTCAAATCTTTTAACGAACGCACGCTTCCTTTTTATTCTTCCTTCCGAGTACCCTTTTCCAACAAAACTAGCATTGTTATGAACACTCTCAACGCCAGAGATACTGCGAAAGATTGACGCTCAAACTTCAAATCTTCATCGGTTAAAAGCAAAAAAGGAAACTTTAAATGAAGGGAAACAATCGTAACATAAGCTTCTTAGTGGAGGAAGAAATAAGGAAAAAACAGACTGAAAATTTTCAGGAAAATTGGAGAATGAGGAGATGCGTTAAAAGCGTATAAAATCACCTAAAGTGGGGGAAGGGGGAGAAACAGGAAAAACAGAGAGTAAACACTCTTACTCAACAGATTAAGTGTAACAATTAACCAGAAACAGAATGAAAGCTTCGAGAAAACACTTGTTTTTGCATCTTCTCTCTGAGACTTACCGTCATTCGAGACCGACGAACTAAAGTTCAGACAAGAAAGGAAAATCAGAAGAAGCAGCGCATGACGAAATGCCATCACGGCCCCGGCAGGAAAATCTCACATTAACACAGGAAATCCATCTCAAGCAACACTTTCGAGTAAGACAGCGGTAACGATGACACCCTTCATGCTTACAAGGTTACATCTCCTCTTTAGAGTAGACTGAAAAGAGGCAGAGTTCTTGAAACAAAAGCTAAGCTTTTGTAATCACTTGGAAATAGGCAAAGAACGTTGTGTTGGATAGAAGGAATGGCAGAAAAGCTCTTCCAATTACAGACATTAAACGACGACGTCGAAGGATTCCAGAACATCTGAGGGAGAGGGGGAGAGAGATACAGAGATGGAGAGAGAAGAGATACAAAGAGTTTTCCGGTTTTCTGAGTATTTTTTGTTAAAAAATGTATTTATTTAATTTTTGATGTAAATGTTCTGGGGCGCGACGAAGATCACGACGAGCTTGTTTGTTCCATCACATCGTTCTGGCAGTGCTCTCTAAATACAGGGGCCAGCGAGAGTACTCCAAAAGAGAGAATAGAGAGAATTATTTCGAAGATAAAGTTAAAAGCCTTCTGCCACCCGTCTGCCATAAAACCTGCAACAGCACAGCTCTCTATTTCTTTTCTCTCTCTCTCTCTCAACTCCACTCTCTCTCCATTCAGTTCTTGAGTCCTTACTTCTCTCTCTCTGCATTTGCAGCTCACAGCCGAGCAAGGCAGGTAATCCTTTTCGGGTTGACAAGGACGATTGCTCTCGATCTAACTTTGGTCTCTCTCATAATTTACTTGGGAGACCCAGTTATTTACTGCTTTCCGATTTTAATATACCTACCTCCCGTCTTCTTTAACGGCATCACCTCGCGATTAATCGCCAATCCCACGCAGTACGCCAACACCAACCGGTTGTTCGGATCCATTCAACCTGTTCATGGGCGGTCCCGATTCGAGGCGGGTTTTGTTCCGATCATATGACTTAGGTCTTGAATCCGAGCCTATCATAAATTTGAAGTTGGAAGCCTGATTATAAAATTAAAATAAATAAATATTTTTTATTCAATAAAAAATCTAATCATTGATTAAAATATGAGAAACGGAACAAATAAAATTTTTTTATTATATAAAATACATTTTTTGCTATTTAATATATTATCAAGTTGGATTCAGCTCGGACCGGATTTTTTTAAAAACGTCCAAACTTGACATGAAAAAAGTCGGACCTATTATTTTGGGCCCAAGCACAAATCCATATATCTAAATTTATGTCCAAACCCAACTTAAAATGAGTGGAGCCAGGCCAGCTCATCGGGCTATCCGGCCCATTAACAAGTGTACACGAACTTAATCCAAGACTAATGGGATTTGGGTATTATTCCACCTTATTAACGAATGAGGTTAATATCAAATTTTATATTTTACCAATAAAATAAAATGAAATGGATAAAATCATTTAAGTTTTATTTAAAAATAACGTTTTTTAGACTTTTATTTTCTGTTGCAACAGATAATTTCATTTGGACTTGCCTTCTCTCTAATGCTATACTGCATTGGCACCAAAATTCCATTGATTTGATTTTGTTTTGTTTTATTTATTTATTTATTACAACGCAATATCAATTGTATTGGTTCAAATGTATGAAGGTGTAAATGACTTTGAGTACAAATTCTCATTAAATATCACTGCATGCCAACTTTACTATTGTCCTTAGGGGTGCAAAAGGGCTGAATCATACTAATATGAACTCGATCACATTTTGCCGGATTTGGACACCCCCAGTTTTCAAGTTGGATTGAACCAAATAATCGCATCCAATTAAAAAATGTGTGGAACACGGATCACACCCATATCTCATCCAAAAGAATATTATTTATTTGTTTATTTATAAACATGTTTATATTTTATTTTTATATTATTTATTTTGTATGAAAATGCATATATCTATATCTATATTAGGAATGGCAACGGGGCGGGGCACCCCCTCCCCGTGCCCACCCCAAAGTCATGATGCCTTGCCTTGTACCTACCCCGTCCCCGGTGGTGGGGCGAGTTCAAGGCAGGGCATTCATTCCTCATCGGGGACAGAGAATCCCCAAAATTTTTCCTCTCTAAGATAATTACTTCAAAATTATCTATTTTATGAACAATTTGTACATAGGATATAGGAATTTTGGGGTATTTTAGAATTGAATTATAATACTTTATGAGTAATTCAACAAAAAATTATGGGATCCTAAGATTTTAAAAATTTAGGAAAAACTTAAAAATATTTTAAATATCAACATTAAACCTAGAGATGTTTTACTAATTTACCTTCGGGTTCGGGAATTATATACAAAACTCGTCCCCTCCCCATACCCGGTTTGGAGAAAATTATTTTCCCTGTCCCCACCCCGTCCTTGTTTAGAGTCGGGGAAAACCCGCCCTGTTCAAGCAGGGCGGGGCATGATAGGGCCCTGATTTTACGGGGAAAATTGCCATCCCTAATCTATCTATCTATCTATCTACCTATATATTTATATGTATATATGATAGAAGTAATTGAAAATTGCTCGTGTTTTTTTTAGTCTTTCTTTATTTTTTATATAAAATTGTGTTTTTTCCTTCTAATAATTTGTTAAATTTAACAATAATTAAATTGAATCAAATTATATTCGAATATCTAATATTCTTAGTAGATCCGAATTCCAAATTACCCTTGTGAGTTTCAATCGGATCATCGGATTGAATTGGACATGAGATTTATATTATCATATTGGATTTTGGATAACTCTGATTTGAATCATATTCGGTCCATTTGTATCCCCGCCAATCTTAGCTCATCTATTCGTATAAAGACCTCTATTTATATTTTTATTCTTTTATTTTTTTTCAATACATGCTTTACGTGACATTCCCTCACTTTACAACAACACTCCAGTGCAATTTAAGTGGAAGGAAAAAAGTACATTAAAAAGAAAAAGAAATCACGATGATTTATGCTTCGTTTGGATAAGCTTCAAGATCTATGCATTCAAATCTAAAAGCATGAGGACCCAATCTTGTACTTAGGAGATTAAAAGAGTTTGGCTTTTAATTTTTTTAAAAAACAATATTTAAAAAATGCTTAAAACACTTTTTTTTTTACTTATTTTAGTTTTTCAATGTACCTTTTTTTTTCTAAAATTATTCAAGCCCGTTTATGACACATTTCTCACCAATAGACATTTATTAGCCAAACTGCCCAATTATTATAATGTTTTTGCTTTTATTATTTCCACAAATAATGTAAAAACACCTTGTATATGTAATCATTCATAATTTATAATATATGGTATTTGGATTTAACTTAAGGATCCAATGCAAATATCCACTTTATGTAATATAGAATTATAGATGACTAATTCAACTCGAACTATGGTAGCTATTGGTGTCAATCACAAATACAAGAATGGTCTATCAGATTTAGAAGAAATTAAGAGAGAAACTAAAAATTGAAGAAATATTTAGGAGTTGCACAAAAATTGTTAATAACTTCCATTCAAACTTTCAATTTCTTTATTTTTCTTTCATTTTTGTTTTTATCAAACCGAGCACAACCTAAAATGAGATTCAAACAAAATTATAAAACAAAGGTCATGGAACCAAGAGTGAACATTTCAGTAGGGCTGTTCACGGGTCGGGTTGGGTCGGTTTATTGATGTTTTTCCAATCGATTCGACCTGGTCAGGTTATTTAAAATTGAAACCGAAATTGACCTTGTGTTAAACAAAACGACCTGATCGGTTTGGGCTCTACTTAGTGGTGACTTAATTGTTGTATAACCTAACTTAACTAGGATAGAGACAACTTAATTAAATAGGAAGTAAGTAGGTTGTAACTACTAATTAGGAACTAATTACTAAGTCGGTGTGAAAACCAAAACTAAACCAAATCATCAATTTATGATTTTTTTATAACCCAAAACTGATCAATACTGAAGAAAACCCGACTTACTCGAGTTGGGTTGGTGCGGATTAATCGATTTGGTCGGATTGAATATTCTTCTTATGAACAGCCCAACATTTCAGTTTTCTACACGCGCCATTTAACGTATTTACTCTTATGATCCGTTGTATATGACTTTACTTGTATACCTTATCCCGTTTGGAGCGTTGGGTGTGTGTATCTCCAATTGACAGTGTGACACTCTCCCTCAGATTTTCATTTTCCTGAGTCCAAACAACAGAAAAAGGGTGTCATTTTCCTTTTGTATTGTATACTACGATACCCCATTCCATCTAACCATCTTCTATCTAAATAAACTCACCGATACAAATTTACAATATAATCATTTCCATCACTCGGCGAGTACTACAAACAAATCGATATCGAGTGGCATTACAGCGGCGATGCAAATGGAAAAACTCGCCGAATTAATTGCCAGCCTAATGATACCATTACCCCCCAAAAGTTTCTCTTTAGAGCCCCGACTTCAAATCGTACTATAAACAAGGTCCCATAACCTTCCTTCTCAAAAGTCCTAACTACAATCTACAACCAACCATCACCATCTCTCTCTCTCTTTTGCCCTCGGGAAGGTAATTTGTCTCATCTCCTTCCTCTCCAGTTGGTCTTTCGGGGTGCGGGCCCCGTCCTACCCTACCCTATCATCCCCGAGCATCAAAACTGACGGCTCTGAGCCTCTGACGGCATGAAACGACGTTCTCAATACATTTTTACACATTCGGGTTATTTATTTATTAATAAAGTCTACGACAAGGGATAAAGGGAATTCGCATCAGCGCTCCACAGAGCGCGCCCGACATACGCCCAATAACCGATTACCGCCGTTAATTGAGAACATCTCCAATGACAAATACTTGGCGCGTTCTGTAGGACGCCAATAGGGACCTTGAGAAAATCGAATGCTTCCTTGCCACACGTTGAGTTGAGTATCCAGAATATCGGAACCAACCTTTTGGTAGGTCCCATGCAAGAATCAAGATAGGATGGTCAGATGACTCCCAATCATCTGATTTCATAGTTCACTTATCCCAATTTTTTTGATCTGGTATAGTGGGGCCCACTGGTGGCATTTACTTCTCTCTACGGTCATGTTTGGGAGTTTTTTTGATACGGTGTTTGGGAGTTGGGGTATCCAAAACCAAACTCTGACCCACTCATTCTCCTCTAACCTAACCAGGATACGAGTTTTTGTTAAATCGACGTAGCGTCGTATAATGTTTTCCGACTTATGTGCAATAGGAGAAAATGCTCTCCTACCTCCTCCTCCTTTAAACGGGGACGGCGGGACCACCACAACCCACTCTCAAGCCTCAACCCCTTTCACCCAATGATAGGATGTCACGTGCCTTATTAATTTAAAATTTTTATTATCTCAATTACGAAAATCCCATGTTTCTCGTGAAATTCTCGCAGTCCCACACAAGTAAAGTACGGCCGTGGGGATGGCCGGTTCCGGACGTGATGGGATAGGATGGGGACCACCAATCTCCCTCCTAACTCGCACACCTGTCCCACCCTCAAGCGAGTGAGAACTGAGAACCAAGAAAAAATTACTTACGGGCCCAACCCAAAAACGATGGGCTGCCCTGCTTGGCTCATTCCGACGATCATCTTGAAGACTTGAACTACAAAG